TGTTCCCTGCATCCTTGCTCAGAATAAATATACGTGTGCATTATGCAGACAAAAAATAGCATCATACTTGCCACCTGAAAAGATGTCAAACCTACTACAACTGCCTTCGTCGGATGATGATTCTATTCTTGAAGACGAATCTGATCATTCTAATGAAAGTGATTATGTTAATGATTATGATGACGATGATGATAATAATGACGGTGATGATGATTATGATGATCAGATGAATGTAGATTAATACTGTACATAAAATACATTTTCTCTTTTAATATTTAGGTAATCAACATATTTTTTCTTTGTCTTTACAGATACATTATTTAACACATCACATTTACCTTAAATATTACGTAACCCCAAGTCATTCCACAAAACCATTTATTGGTCAATACACTTATCAAAATATTCCTAACTAGTTTTATAACGTCAGACAGATTAATAGTATGTTAATTTTAAGAATAATATTTTATTCTTCACAGCTCATAAATATTGAAGAATATCTTAAATACATGCGAACGTAACGCATAATAATATAATACAATCCATCGCTATTGTAATAACAGATAATTATAATTCAAAAATAAACAATGTTGTCACAAATAAAACTGAGCTACAATGTCGATTAAATAGGAAATTTATGTAAAGACATTTATAAAATGAGCTTTAACCAATCAGGTAATTAATTAATATAATTATTTATCAGCTTATACCTTAAGAAGAAAATATTTACTTGTTACTTTTAAATATTACCAGGAGTAAAAAATGTTTGATTTATGATAAATTGAAAAAAAAAAATAAAGATGAAATATAATATCAATAAAATATAAACATTATTGTTTAAAAATTTGCTACCACTACAATAGATTATAGCTAGTCACACAGCATAAAAATGCACGATCCCGTATTTAAAGTCTCTCTACATAAAAGTAAAGTAGACATCGCTTCCGAGTTCTAATCTTTTTTCGCAGAAACTTAATGGCTCTGAATTTTTTGGGGCCAGCATGGCATTAAGTTAATGCTTCTGTGATAAAAAAAGCACAGTATTTATTTTGGCTACGTTTTAGCATGGATTTTGCACGACACGTAAAAAAAATAAATTGTTGTGAGCAGAACTTGGTATTAAACAAATTAGTTAGTACAATAACGGTATAATATATCATTTCAGGTATTACCGAGTAGGTCCTGATGCATAAAAATGCACGATCCCGTATTAAAATTCTCTCTAAATAAAAGTAAAGGAGACATCGCTTCCGAGTTCTAATCTTTTTTTGCAGAAACTTAATGGCTCTGAATTTTTTGGGGCCGGCATGGCATTAAGTTAATGCTTCTGTGATAAAATCAGCACAGTATTCATTTTGACTACATCTCAGCATTAAAATTGCACTAGACGTAAAAAAAATAAATTGTTGTGTGCAGAACTTATTATTACACAAGTAAGTTTTTATAATAAAGATACTATATAATTGTAGGTATTACTTAACAGGTCTTATATGAGACTACACTAAAGTTTTCACTAAACAAAAGTTATGGTGGGTCATTACTCTTATATTATAGTTATGTTTAATATAACATATACCAGAATGAAGTTGAAAGGTTAACTTGCTTATAATGATTCATGATTGGTTAATGATAAATTTTCAGCAACGTTTAAGTAAATGCATCATTTTTCAACAGAAGAAATCAGCTTTATTGTGACAAAGGTATAGATATAATATTATTGAGCGTTGCGTATTGGTTGGTTCGTTAAAAAGTTATGTGATGATACTAAAAATTAGAGATACAAGTGTAAATTATTTGTGATAAATACATACGTATAAATGATAAATAGTGATATTGAGTTATACAAAATGTTTGAGAAATTTTTTTAATTTAATGGTGTAATCTGTGAAAAAATATTAACTAAGTAAAGTTTTACTTACTTTGTAAGCAAAAAAATTTTTTCTTTGTATAATAGTAAGCTTATAAGGTGCGTTGATAATAAATAAATATGTAAATAAATTTTTTTGTCTAACATAAATTATATAAAAAGGGACAAAATTTAAATACTGACAGTAAAACCAATATCAATTCAATTACATTAAGATGATTATATTGCTCGTTATAATAGATACGGCGTTTTCTATTTATTAGTAGTTTTTCATTCTGTCTTTTTTTTTTACTGTGATGATAAAACATTTATCTGAATGAACATAACTTGATACATTTATTAATTTCAATTATTACATAATTATACCACAAATTGTGATATTTTATATGGTTGTTAAAAGTTTTTTTAACCATGGACACATTTTCATTAAACTTTCAATGTAAATGAGCAAGATCAAAGCAAAAAAATAGTGCAATAACTAATAAAATCAACCGTAAAATCAGATTTAATAAATTAACTCTTATTCCACCTCATATCTTCAGCTTCCAATAGCGTTATGATAAAGGTCTTTTTAGCTTGTACAATATATATGTGTCAGAGTGTAATTGTTTATTCACTAACTTCTTAACCTTCACTAAGTTCTAAAGCAAGTCATAATACTTTCTTTTTTTTAAATACAAATGAAACGAACGATTACAAAAAATTGAAACTCTGGCCAATGTTTATGCATAATACTAACACCAACCTTATTTCAGTATGCGTAGTGAGTTGGGGCTCCTGCCAAGTCCAAAAGTTGAGGCCTTGTGGTCATCGAATGTGTGTTCCCTGCATCCTTGCTCAGAAAAAATCTACGTGTGCATTATGCAGACAAAAAATAGCATCATACTTGCCACCTGAAAAGATGTCAAACCTATTACAACTGCCTTCGTTGGATGATAATTCTTTTCTTGAAGAAGAATCTGATCATTCTAATGAAAGTGATTATGTTAATGATTATGAGGACGATAATGATAAAAATGATGGTGATGATGATTATGATAATCAGATGAATGTACATTAATACTGTATATAAAATACATTTTCTCTTTTTATATTTATGTAATCAACATATTTTTTCTTTGTCTTTAAATACGTTAATATGCATATATCTACTACAATTATTTTGTAAAGGTGATCATAATTATTTCAGTATTTAAAAAACAATACAAGTTCTTGTAGTCATTAAAGCAATTTGAATATTAAGTATCATTGTAAAAATTTGTCACTATCATTTTTTATATTGTAGAGATCCTTATCAATTAATTAATGGTAATAGAAAAAAAAATTCATTTGATAAAGCTATCAAATATATNGACGATGATGATAATAATGACGGTGATGATGATTATGATGATCAGATGAATGTAGATTAATACTGTACATAAAATACATTTTCTCTTTTAATATTTAGGTAATCAACATATTTTTTCTTTGTCTTTAAATGCGTTAATATGCAAATATTTACTACAATTATTTTGTAAAGGTAAGCATAATTATTTCAGTATTGAAAAAACAATACAAGTTCTTGTACTAATTAAAATAATTTGAATATTAAGTAACATGGTAAAAATTCCTCAATATTTTTTTTATATTGTAGAAATCCTTATCAATTAATTGATGGTTAGAGAAAAAAAAAAATTATTTGATATAGCTATCAAATGTATGCCAACTACCGAACGTAAAAAAATAAATAGTGAATGAAAAACATATATTGCTTTTTATAAAGACACCAACACAAAAGTAAAGATAAAGACGTATCAATTTAGCAATTGGAAGATACAAATTTAAACAAACACAAATACAGAAAAAAAATAAAAAAAAGAGATTCAGAAATAGATTTGCGCTTTTGGTAAGAAAATCGATGTATGCGACTCGAGCACTAACATACAACAACCACGCGGCTTTCGGGCACTCATATTTGTACTTTGCGCCCTAGTGACGTAATGTGCCATTATATATATGACTCGTTTTACACTCAGTGCTTAAGAGTTAATTAAATTTAGTCTTTTATAAGTGCAACTTACCTGCGTGCATTTGAAATACATTGAAATTATTTTGTCAGTGAGGAATAATACCCGACAATAATAGTCACAATGATGCGAGTAAATAATAATTAGTGTAAGAATGGCACTATAACGGAGTAAGCAATTTTGCATAAATGAAATGTATTGTATTGGTTATACGTGCGAAACCTTAATTGAAAGTATGCTCTTTACTACTATCTTTGTGCAAAAAAGTTATTCTTAATCTACCCGCCTACAATATGTGCACGACTTATGTGCATAATCGTTATTATGTGCACAATTTTATTCAACTACGTGTATGACTCTTTTGTGCATACATCTTATGTGCATGTTTATTAATTGCACTTTTTGCCATGTGTACAAATAACCATTGGTTGTGCACAAAAAAATGTGCCTAAAATCGTGTGTGCCCAATGTTAAAACCAAAAATAATGGCATGCATGATCATTTAATCACATTTGACTGTGAAAAAAAAAACAATCTAATTAGGCACAAATATTGTGCATAAAATCTTGTGTACGAAAATATATGTGGACATACTCAAATTATATGTGAACAATATTTCGTGTTCAACAAACTGTGCATGACAAAAATGTGCACTATCCGTGGGTGCACTGGACATAGTCTGCCTATTTAGCCTAATATTTCTTCTGAGAAAAAAGATGTCCATATTATCATTTATATATATTTTCCGTAAAAAAAAAGTTGTATCAACTAGGATTCGAAGATTTGCCCATGCAGAGTTTCGTATAAGCAAAACGTTCATCCAACTGACCCATTGAGAACTCAGAATTTTATACAGAAATATCAAATTTAAGCTGTAAGAAGTTGTTGGGATTTAAGTTAAAGTTGAGTAGAGGGCGCTCCGCTACTCCTGGTCAGGGTGAGAGAGAGAGAGAGAGAGAGAGTAAATCTGCGCACAAGTATGAGCGAAAACGCTCAGATAATTTAAGACACTGGTTAGTAACTATGTTCTTCGTTTTACAAAATATTCATTTATTTAAATATGTTTAGCACGTACAGATACTAAAACTGACATAAATTTATTCTAAATAAGATAGTACACTTACCGGCACACGAAGTATCGGATGACATTTGCGTGACACACAATCACAGTATAATTATCTTTCTCCACAAGACTATCAGCTCTATGAATGTATTTACGAAAAGCTGCCTCTAATCGTGGTCCATCTTGGAAGAACTGTAGGAAAAATAGTGATTACTCTTTCATTATTAAATCCTAGTAAACTTCAACTTTACAAGAAACAATTATTTCAAAACGTGTAAAGCCTATGCATTACTTTTTATCGAAAGTTCATGTAATTTTGGATCTTATTTTCAAGTGAAACTGTACCGGATGAAGAACGGATTTTTCTAATGGATGCTTATCCGAATCGAGATATTGTTAGAAAAAAAACTTTAAATTTTTTATGACCTCTTTCTAGTATTTAGTAAATATTTTTCTGAATTTTGCACCTTGTTCTATTAAGAAATAAGAGTAATGTGTAGAATGATAGAAACAACTTTATAAGACAATATATTAAAAAACTTTAAAACGTTAGTATAAACTTAGTATTTATTCAAAAGTAAGTACTTATATGTGTGGCGTGTGCATACTAGTCGAGTTTCGCCCTCCTACTCACTTTGCGTGTAAACCTACCACAAAGTGGGGCAAATCTATAGAAAAAGCATGCAAAGAAATTGAAGATGGAGAGAGAATATCTGGATGGTTTGAGGAGCAAGAATCATCCTAGTTCGGAGAAAAAATGAAAGGGGTAATAAAAATTAAAGCAGACCAAGAAATCTAAAAATGAATTGGAACAGTATTGACAGGTCTAAATATTGTAACTATTACGAATTTAGAAAAGAGAGACAAGGCGTTGAGAAGTATTGGGGTGACAGAGAATGAAAGGAAGGTATTAAAGAACAGTTCGTAAGATTGAGATATAGGAGCACAGATAGGGTGGGCACAAAGGGTTTTAGAACGTGGACTGTAGGGTTTGCTGTAAGAAAAAAGAGGCATAAGAGCATGTTTTTGTTTGCAGGGTAGGAAAAAAAGGAATAAGCAAAAAAGTGGCAAGAGAGGTGGATAATTTAGGATTATGAGACCAAAATAAAACAGTTAATCAAAGGCTTATCACGCTGTTAAAAGGGGATCTAAATGAAAAGATATGAAAATATAGCAGAGAATTTGAAAGGTTGGCCAGATCAAAAGCAGAGAAAGGGTAGGAGTAGAAAGAATTAGGGGAGAAATTAAGGAGGCAAGATTCTTTCGATTGAATTAAAGGTGTAAAATATAAACATTTAAGTCAGCAATAGTAATTTTTTGTAACACACAAGACTGTCGTGTCTGGGAAAAAGTATGTAAATAGAGTGTCGAATCTAAACATGGAAATAAAGCTATCCATCTATCTGTTTAAAAAATTTTCAAATATTCCAATATGTCTTTAAGAAATTTTACAATCAATTACAAAGTTCTTTTTTTCTTCAAATTAATAGTTAAAATCAGTCGAAATTCACCTGCCCTTCCGTTTCGTTTTTAATAAAAAGGGTATGCTTATGAACTTTAATTACTACGTATTGTGTAACAAAGCGGTAGTACCCTGATTTGGATTGACAATTAGAACCCTAGTGTATCAATAAAAAATGGTATATAACATATACGCAACTCGATCCATGAATTTATTAATATATCTACCCTTTGTGTAGGTCATTTTACGAAAATGGTATGTATGTTTCAAAGGCTGAAATTAACAAAGACTTAGAAAGAGTTTTAAAATTTTTCTAATGATTTTTTTACTTGTGATAAAAATGAATAAAAATCATAACGAATCGACTAGAACTATTCTGAAAAGAAATTTAAAACAACGAAATAATAAGTATCATTACTGGTTCCGAGCAAAAATAGGACTGTTAGAGGTTCTGAGAAAACCATTTTAAAATCGTCATTTTGACGCACTAAATGATGTACAAACTTTACTTTAGCACTCATACCATGTTTACTTACCAGCTGTATTATTATCATTCTCTGTACCTGTTGATAATTGAACTTTTAGCGTAGTACACTGCATTATAAATCCATATACTATTTGAGTTTTTATTTTTCAAGGACTGACCTTACGAATTCGCAAGTTTGTAGCACTGGCTTGTGGCAGTTAAAAATTTTGAAAAGTTTCTACACTATAGTCAACCTGCATAATATGTAAATTGTTTGAATTAAAGCACCAAAATACAATCTTATGCATATGTGAGAGCCTTTTTTGCGAAAATATAAGACATGATTTTTTAATAGTTCATTAAAGTATTAAAAACTAATACAAACATTGGTGACTTTAAGATCCTAGAGTATGAAAAAGAAATGAAAGAATTGCACTTTGCTTCTAAACGTCATTAAGATGAAAAATTTTTAATAATTATTAAATTTCGTGCATATCAACTGCCTTTTCTGTGTTTTTTTTTCAATTGGTAAAAAGTACGTATGCTTAGCCTCATTGATACAAAACAAATAGTAGAGTAAATGTGTTTGACAAACAGTAATTGTTTCGTTACCTTGCCATTTGATTAGCAAGTGGTTACAAAATAGCGTACTATAAAACAAGTTTACTGAATTATTGTGCCTGAATGGTGTGGAAAATATGATTTAAATTTTTCGTAACACAATTTTCAGCAAGAATTTCTTTTATGTAAAAGTTTTTTGGTTGGATGTTAGTATATAATACCGAATAATACGATGAGTATTTAACATTTTTTAGTAAACTAAGTATGAGTAGCATTATTTTGTAGTCTTATCATTCGATTAATCATGGCTTTGAGATGGTGAACTGTACAACAAGGATGCTGATTGGCTGCGCCTTATTGGTGTAGAAACTATAATTTAAACCTCTCTGGATACAGATGTTAGTTATAATTTGTTTCATGTAAATATCTTTTAGATAACTGTTAGTATGTATTTGTAATGCAAGTTACGTTACGCATCATTAAATGGTCTTGTTATTTAATCAACTTGTAGTTTTAAAACGGCGATCTGCAAAGTAAGTTTGCTCGTTGACTGCGCCTAATCAGTGCAAAATATACGAAGTTTTATCGTATGTATCGTAATTTGATCACATAGTAAATTTATCACGAATGTAATAAACTTTATTTCATTAACTTTGATTAAGGGGTCTGTTTTTATTGATTTTTGGTTTCTAGTCACGTAGTTACTAAAATCTTATAATTAAAGTCTACAATAATGTCACTATAAGAACTAAGTCGAGTTAGATCCTTATGATCTCTTGCACGATTACGCATCGAGTTGGGCTCCTCGTTCACTACTGTCGACCGTTGATCCGTCAAGGTGGTCAGCACCTTCACATTCTCTTCATGCTTTACTACAGCAACAACATGTCCAAAGATCACAAAACACTTACTATGTGCCAGCAGGAGTTATAAGTGAAGATTTTCAATGTTTATGTAGTATCAAAAAACTTAGCAAAGAAAAAATAAACAGGTCTCTCATTAAAAGCTGTTTAACAAAATTAAGAATCAATTAAGAGAAATTTCAAAGAAAAATTAATTTTATTATTAATACTTCCAATTGAACATGAACTTCACAATTTGAAAATAACACAGATGCGCCAATAGCTACGTACACGAATTATTTGAGGGTTCGCGAATATATTGTGTGTCATAGTATAAATTAAAGTACTAAATAATAGAGTGGTAATAATGTTTTATTCGATGAATTTAATGTTTTTTTAATCCGTCAAAAATTAAAAAACTATGTGATTTTTTAAAAAACTGCAATAAATATCTTGTTTTAGAATAGGTACTTATAAGTTATGTAGCGTTTTGAAAGATTGTATTTTTTCACAATACCTCATACATCAAATATTTCATTTCTTCGTAGCTAGTAGGTATCATCTAATTATATAGCAAAAAGTTATAAACTACACTTATACATAGCTTCACTAAAATGATATAATTGTTGTTGAAAATTTTTATTTTCTAAAGGAAAAGTATTATGCATCACACAAATGAAGTTATGTAACTCCAAAATACAATGGAAAAAAAAAATTAGAAAAAGTAAATAAACCTAAACAAAAAGTGTTATGGTTTTACGTTACTTAATTATGTAATAGGAAGAAACATGTCTAGAAGAAGGTAATGGGGTTTAATGCTGAATATTGTAAGTATCCCTATTGCTTCCTTTTTACTTTAAAAATAATTGGGACTGTTTTACAAAAAATATGATCCCGCAGAATTTAGTAGAAAATGTAATTGTGTAGTGCTATTTATTGTAAAACTGTTTTGTATTGCAAATTAATAACAATATCTGTAAAGATGATTTATTATAGAAACTTATTTAAATTATACTTTTGATAACCCATTTCTGTTTTTATGTATGCAAAAACTAATAATTTAACAGAAAACACGAGTGTATGCTGAATAATAAACTACTATAGAAATTTATTATTCTAACAAATTTTTCGTAACATGAAATATATTTCTAAAGTTTATCAATGTTTATTGCGAAGTTCATGCAAAAGTTAATTATCTCTTTAAGGGCAAGTACTGGATTGCCCATAGTAAAAACATATCTAGTGAACATAGGGTACGTGTCTTAGTTCTTAGAAATATTACATCCTAAAATTTTGTATCCAAAATAATCTGGAATTAAGTACAATGTATGAAACTTTGACAGAGGTACAGCTTGATTAAAGTTTATAAAAATTTATTCTTTTGATTATTAACACCTACGAAATTAGAAACCTAGTGTGTACATTTGCAAGGTCAGAGTTAGAACTCATGGCTATGTACAATGATGAAGGCAGGCTATGTCATTCCACGCAGACAGGCCTTATTTTCTGCTGGGTGACCAACTTAAAGTCACTGGAGCAGTATTTGCTAACGTGTTGAAATATTACTTAAATTTATTTTTCTACCCTCGGACGTGGTGCTTTGCGCCCTAGGGTACACTTTCCGCCTGCTAGTTATTTTTCGTCCACGAGTGGGAAAGAACATTCTGGCCCTGCCGGGCCTAAGGTTCGTTTTTGCCCTAGGGTGAAAAGTAATTCGCGGGCACGAAGTGTGCCCATAGGCATAAAGTTCTGCTTTGCGCCATCGATACAAAAAATGTCATTCTCACCCCGGGCACAAACACATAACCGCGTGCTTCAGGCGAGCCAGTTATACTTTCTGCTCTAGGTAAGAAATATACTA